CCTCGCCGGCCCCAACGTCCTCAGCACGCTGTCGCCAACATGCATGAGACGAGGGAACACCAACATGATTAATTATACACCCCCATACCCCGAGGATCATTTAAGCACTACATATAACTGACCGTTTTAATCCCTGCAATTGTATTGGCCTGACGACGACTTGCTGAAAACACGTGTTTGCTATGATGACTTCTCAATCGTAAAATGGGAATATTTGCAGAGATAAATAATAAACTAATAAAAATAAGCTAAATGAAAATTAAACCCTGTAAATATTGCCATAGTTAATTTGAAAAGTCAGTTTATTAGGCAAATATGTTCTCGGAAATTCTTTGTCAGGCCATTAACTTTGCAAAACAATGAAAGTTTTGTCATGTAGAAAAATCAAAAATGTCTGAGGTAGGCGCCGATAAACTGACTTTTTTAAATTAGACCAAGTAAACTCAAAACTAAACCGAATTAAAAGTAAACTAACTAAACTAGAAACTGAAATTAATTCAAACTATGCTACAACTAATAAAACTAAATAATTAATTGATAATTAAACTAAATTACAGTAAAACAAGTATTTAGCTATGCATGGTAAAATACGGTGTTCTGATCAAAGAGGTCGCGAATCCCAGGCCCGGATGGTGCACCGCTTGAATATGACCGACCTACGACGGTTAATGCAGCAGGAATGGCCATTCCAGTCTCCCTTGTCTTTGCCGGCAGTACTATCTGCTCACATTACTGGCCTTTGTGTGGCTGCTGTCAGAGCCCGAGACAGGAAACCCAAGGTAGATCGGGACGAGTGAGATCTGCTAGCGATCGGTAAACGTTCACCAACGAGATGTTCCATCAGTTGGCCTAATTTTCCAAAGCCTGTATTTATACTGTGTAGGCGAATAGTTTCGTGTATTGAGAGACAACTGTTTGAGACATCGGTTTCGAAAGTTATTCCTGAAAAATGGAACACATCAGGTGATCGTGTATGCTGGATTCGGTTGTCAATTGGAAGACCGGTTACTTTGGTGTTATCGACCGAGACTGTTA